GCCAATTTATCTCTCTAGCCTGAAACATAATAAATTTTTATGTAGGCATGGGAGAATTCCATATATTTAATACATTTTAATTTGGGTATATTTATCATAATTTAAGACTAACTAAAAATTGACATCATCCTTTTGTACCATAATTTACTGAAGAAGGTCCACATAACATATAAAACAGAAAGAACTTTTTTGAATTAGGATATGAAAACACAATTTGTCCTATATATACAGTATTAGATAAATCATATTTTTTCTATTGAAAAACTAGAGAGAACTAAGACAAGATAAAAATAGAAGGTAACACATTGTGAGCATATTCTTCTATTAAATTATGTACAGCAATACAAGTTGCAGGTTAAGTAACACTATCTTCATAGTTTTAAACAGAAGTAAATAAGAGAAAGATTTCATGTTATAGAATCCCTCTCATTAGATCAATTCTACAAAAACAACTCAGTGCTACAAATGTACTTAGTGACTAGTCATGTCATGTTGACTATATGTGCTTACATGTATCCTCCTTTATAAGAAAAATAATTTGCTAAGACATGGTTCTGTGTTTAAAAAGAAAATAATTTGCCTGGATATAAGCCAAAATTACAGAATTAAGGATTCTTAATTTTGTTTTGCATAGGCTGCATATGTTCTAGTTAAAACAATATTTTTTCCAGCATGTAAACCCATTATCAGCCTCAGAAATTAGGAACAGGTTATGAGTCAGATGGGATATCATTCACTCTAGATCGATTGGAGTCATTATACCTTTCAGAAGACTCAAAGATTAAACCAAGTCATCTCAATAATATTCTTCATTTTGCTAGCAAGTAAAGGAAACTATTATAGTATACCACATCAATGCTCCATTATAGCCAGGTCTCCCATATTTGAAAACATTCACCGTTCAACATTTTTAGCCATTTCTAAACATCAACTTCGAAATAAAGCCAGAGAATATTGTTAATAATCCAAAAAGAATTTTTAGGCACGTTCATGAGAATCAGTTTGGAGGAGAATCAAATTGCATGGCTAATGTTAAGAAATTGGCATGAATTCCCTTAACTACTAGCAATATATTTTTTGAGTAGGCAATGAGTCAGTGAAGTAGGGATAATAACTGGCAAAATTCCAAGTAGGCACAGTTGACACTCAGTGTGCATTTTCATTTTCTTAGCAATAAATGATGAAAAAATGTTAGCAAGCTTGTCATGAATTATAATTAGAACTCTCTTGGGTTGCCTTTTGTATAATAGCTACATAGTATATTATTAGGCAAACTGTAAATATTGGTATCTTACTGGTCTGGCTAATGAAAACAAAGTGTATCAGTTATATTTTAAGCTTTCACTTTTAAATTGGTAATTTTTTTTACCATTATTTGTGATGCCCAGTATTAAAATTCAGTTCTCACACATAGCCTATAATGATGAGGTTATGAAATTAGCATTTCTATATTATTCTTATGTGTTGAGAACCAGTGACAGTTATTGCAAATCATAAAATTTTCAAATTGGGCATTTCTCATTCAAATCGGTTAGTAGGTTACAGTTGTGCAGGATTTCAGTTTAACCTCATCGCTGGACATGAGTTGAGTTCCCGAAAGTTTACATTGTCTCTCATCCCCCATGGGTCAGCTAACCATCTGAATTGTCTGTTTCTTCTGGCACATAACACAAGGAAAATGCAACAACTCATAGGCACTCTCAGACTCTCTGCACATACACCTTTTAACATTCCATTCACCATAGCAGGTCACCTGACTAAGTCTACATTCTAGGACCATAGAAGAGTTCTCCTCAAAACCTTTGATCACTTTGTGTATGCTGAGAACTGTCTTGCTGTCCTGTGAGCAAACCCACCACACTGACCTTATATAGCACCTTTGGAGTTGCTCTTCCTTTGTCTTTTGCTCTATTTTCCCATATATCTGCATGGTTCATACCTTCAAGTCTTTATCTCAGTTGCATCTCACCCTTTTCTCAAAGTATTCATCACTCCTTTACACACTTACATAATTGATGAGTGCCTCCAAAAAAGGATCCTCTGGTTTCAGGTGATTATTAGTTACCAACATGGGTGCCTAGAACTGAACTCAGGTCCTATGAAAAAATAAGATCTGCCAAACCATCTCTCCAGCACCTTGAATTTTTTTTTTGTTTTTGTTTTTGTTTTTTTTTTTTTTGTAAAAGCATTAAAAAGGGGAACTGAACCAATATCTAACAATAGAATTCTAGTAATTTATTCTTAAAATATTTAAAAGCTTATATTAATTGTTTAGTGATGAGTTTTATTATGGCTTTTTATATATGTGAATAAATTATTTTGATCATATTCAGCATCATTCTTCTCTTGTATCTCATTCTACCTCCTGCTCTTCCTCCTTCTCCAAGTCAGGATTCACTTAATTGTTTCAACTTTTTCAGTATAATCTGATATAGAATACATTAGGTGCTAAGAATTCTTTACTTAGCCTATTTCCTGATTTCAGTTCTTACAAAGAGGTGAGTTAAGCCATCTTGAGAAATCTGGAGAATATGAGAAAAATATTTGATGTAATAATATACTTGTTTATACACAACTTAAGATTTGTTAGGTGCTCTAAAAATATTGTGGTGATATATTATCTATGATTTATTAAAGCTTGCCTGAGGATTCAGAAAGCAAAGTCAGCCACAAACTATAAAAGTCAGGCAGTGGTGGCACACAACCTTAATCCCAGGACTCGGGATTAAGAGGTAGATGGATCTCTGTTAGTTCAAGGCCACCATAACCTACACAAGAATGAAGAGTAACAGAGCTCATAGCTTTGATCCCAGCACCTGGGACCACATGCCTTTAAACCCAGCATCATGAAGACATATAAGACAGAGACAGGGTATCAGAGTTGGCATTCATTGAGGACAGGAAGATATTGAAGTCTCAGGATTCTCCAACCTCACTGAGGAGAGGCCGCAGAGTGAGGTTTGGTGGAGCCAGGATCCCTTTTCAATTTGAGGTAGAGTGAGAGCTAATGCCCAGCTGCTTTGCTTTTCTGATCTTCAGCTTGAAGTTTGCACCCAAATATCTGTCTCTGGGTCTTTTATTTATCATGTTATAAAATAATTAGAATGTTTATTAGATCAATACCTGAGTGCATGCATAGTTCCCTGCATTCAAACCCCAATACCTCCCTCCACAACTGTTTAAATGAATACAATTATCAATGTCACAAAAGCTTACTATGAAAAACAAGCCAATTTTGCATTTGAACTTAGATATTCTTTTTTGAGACAGGTGATAGTTTATCTGTAAAGATGAACTTAGCTGACACCATTAGCTTTTACATTACAGTTTGATCCTTGAAGTCATTCGGGAACACTACTGCCAATCACATCATTGAACTGTACCAGGGTCTTAACACAGTACAATGAAGTTCCTGGAACTCAGATATGATGTAATTAAACTGTCAGATATATTGACACCAATGCTGAACGTTTCTACTTGTTCTGATTTAATCTGTATGACATACTGTCATGAACATAGACTCGTTGCCATTAAAAATGCCTCACCTTTCCCAACTCAACAAAAATTTGCATCAGTAATTGTAATTGGCCCTGCAGTTGGTCAGTTTTGTTTCTTCTGGTAATCTTTTATTCATCCCATCTTCACCAAATAGTAAGCATTTAAAATGAAATAATAAACTAGAAATACTAAATAACATTTTTCTGAAGATAAAAGCTTAAATGTGTGTATATGTTCATACATGTGTACATGTGTGTAGAGAAGAGAGGAAGAAAGAGGAATCTAGCATCATGTCTTCCTGCTTTGTGTGACATTCATTCTTCACCTTGTCTTTCCTGTGCTTAGGATTTCAAAGAGGCTTGCTCTGGCATGAGACTCTCAAAATCAGATGCCTTTTATCCACCCCAGCTTCTTAACCCTCCCTTCTAGGAATAACTTGCAGGCTCCTGTCCACCTAGAGTATGATTTTGTCTTAGCAAATGATCTTTATACTCATGCTTTAAAAATAAGGTTGAAAATGCAAGAATGAATGCAGAATTATAATCTTAACTGAACATCTAATTGTGCCATGGACCAAAGAAAATGAAAAGAATATGTAAATCATTTAATCACTACCTCTCTAATCATTTCCAAGTCACAGGTGAACCTGAGCTGTCCTTAAGCCCATTCATTATTTCTGACTTGCTTGAACAAGGTCTTGCTTTCAATAGATATAATGATGTACTTAACAAATAAAGCTCAAAAAGAAGTATTTTCATGATTGGGAGATTGGTTATCATGAAAAACAACTTTCAGAATTCAACCTTCAGAATTCAAATTAGCTTGCTTTGCACCTAAGAAAAATTCTCATTACTTAAGATGTTTTTTGAGGTGCTGATCCACACACTACCTACAATGAATTCCCAATTCAAAAATGATACTGCAGTTCCAAGTAACAAATAAGGGGAATAACTCCTCAGTATTCTCTCTGTTTACTGTCCTGAAAATACTGTTAGTATTTATTAGTTCATGTACAGTGTTTATTACTTTTTAATTACATTTGACTTTAATGCTACTTTAGTTTTGTTTTTGTTGTTAAATGTAAAAGACTAAAAGCCCCTGTTTCTATCTCCCTCGTAATTTCAAATCTGCCACATTCTTGTTTTTCTTTTGTGGTGAGGAAATATACAAGTGCAACAAGTGTGTAATAACAATTGTTTCATTTCAAAATTGAATATTTGTTAATGGGCTTTGAGAAAAGGCATTCTGTCAACTTTGTATTAACTAGTGAGTATGAACACAGTTTTCTCTAAGAATAACATTGGTAAATTACCATGTGGGCTTCCACACATTAAGGGAGGAATCCCTAATAATCAAACTTGAGGAGTTGCTTGAGGATTTGTTTGTTGCTTATGAGCAAGTAAAATTAACTTACATTTGATTGTAAAATGCTATTGTGGTCCTTTCCTGTGTTTGCGTTTGGCAAAAGTATGATGGGTCCTCCTTGTTTTTCTTTCACTAAGGTGAGGAAGATCTGAGTCCTCCCCAGGATACAAGCACAGGATTAGAAGAAGTGATGGAGCAACTCAACAACTCCTTCCCTAGTTCAAGAGGTAAGGACCTGTACCCATGAGGAACTCAGACCTCACCATTCTAACTGATGTGTTTTTGTGAATTGGATGCCAATCTGTGCTGGCAGGTTTCATCATTGAAATTTTATTTTTAGTATAGATTTCTTGCTTGGTGTATTTTGAGTTCAAATACCCATATGAGTAAAGTGTTTCTAGAAGGAAAAAGTCCGCCTTGTACTTATAAAGTATTTTGTGTTGTTCACATGTTGGTTTGGAGAGATAAATATGTGGTACCATTTATTTAAGGGCAGTTACTATACGACTTTCACAGGTGAGAAAATGACTGCTGTATGTTGCCTTTGCCAGGGATGTAAGACCACAGTATCACAGTGAGGCCTAGAAAGTGCCTAGTGATAGTCATGGGGATGTTGGCTTACAATCTCTGGCCCTTTGTTTGTGAAAAGTGTATCATATTCCATCATTCCAGTATAGGGATAATTAGATCTCATAGGTAAGGTTATCAGCTTTTTACTTTCTTGTAAAGAAGGACATTTTTCCCCTATCACATTGACCTTGTCCATTTTTTTTTGCACCACATACAAAAGCAGGACTTTAGAGCACAAACTTATCCCAAAAGTCTGTATGAGCCACAAATGGCTTACTTCATCCAAAGAGATATTTACTGTTCTTGTTATGGTTTATTACCTGACACAGTCACTGAACAACCTCCCATCCACCTATTAAAAAAAAAAAAAAAAGGAGTTAAGGTCACCTGTGAGCTGACAGAAAGAAAGCCTAGTGAAGCAGAAAGGAGGAAACAGAAAGGCTTGTAGCCAGTGATTAGCACCCTAATGGGCAGCATAGGAAGGGAAGAGTGGTGGAAAATCTGAGGTTTTTGTTTGTCTCTATAAGAGCAATAAGGAGGGGGTTCTGAGTAGTGTGATTTTCCTATCTTTTTGTTCAGAATCAGCTAACAATGGCCATTTCCTTGCTATTTGATGTGTGAGTGAACGTTGTGCAGTGCACATTAAAAGCAATAATGTTCTGGTAGAGCGTTGCTAAGGAACCATCAAGGAAGCTAATTTTAAATGACTGTGCCAGCCATCTTTTCACTGCTGAGCACCACTGTTTGATTTTTAATGGATGAAACTCTTACCTGTCTTCCACTAACCCCTTGCCCTATGCCCATCCCCACTCTTTTAGGTATCTCCTCTGCTTAGATCTCATTATTTAGAAAGAGAAAAACGATACACCAGCTTGGTAGAAATGAAAATGTTTTTCCCTTTTGTTATTCTCATTTTGTTCTTCCAGATTTTACTAGTGCCTACTATGTATCAGAGAAAGCATCAGGAATGAAAAGAAAGAACAAATTCTTGGCTTTCAAAGAACTCATGGTTCAATGCTGCATTACAAAGAAGTTCAGAACATGATGCAATATACAATTTCTATAGTGGATATATATTTTCCATGAATGAATCCCTGAAGCATTCTGCTTGTTATGAAGGAAATAGACTTCTATAGATGTTTCTTCTTCAAGTTAGTTAGAATTGGGGCTGTAGTTAGAATTGGGGGCTACTACAAATTTCTTCATCCCTTCGCCTTTGCTTAAAGGTCATAGACATGTGTTTAACTCCAGCTTTGAGGACTGTGAGAAATCAGGAGCTACCCTAGTTGTAGCCTGAATATTTTTCCACATCTAAACAACAGGAATATTGTAGAGAAGCACAACCACAAGACTCCTGGCCCAGATCCATGCTGATTAGCTTGAGAATGAAATCCTTTGTATTGACTAGTTGCACTCCACTTCTAGAATCCTTTCAGGTAAACTAAGTGTAGAAGGAGCTTCCTGAGACATTAAGAATATACCTTCTCTACTATGATATTTCAATTCACATTACTAATGTAACATTTACTAGTATTGTTTTGGTTTACTTGTTTGGGACCTTGGGAAACACTGTGCAGGCCACCTGGATAATGTTACTAAATTAGTACTTAAACAAGAGTGTGATGTCCTTAATGCTGATTCTAATATAGTATAAGGAGACATTATCTGAAAATTTCCATTGACTAACTTTTTACTTAATTGTAGTCTGGTGGCTTGAGAAAATTAACTCATTCTTGAAAAGCAAGCAAAAAAACACTACATTGTATGAGAGTAAATAGCTAGTCTCAGAGTATTTAACTAGATCTCTCACCCTCTCTTTCTATTTCTGTCTCTGTCTCTCTCTCTCTCTCTTTCTGTGTGTGTGTGGTTGTGTGTGTGTGTTGTATGAATATAGGCTGGCATCAGTTGTCATCCTCTCCCTTTGCATTTTAGTTTTTGAGACAGGTTTTCTTGCTGAAGCAGGCTAATCATTTTAGCTACACTAGCTGACATGACAAGCAAGCCCTCTGGGTCCACCTATCTAACCTGCCTCCCCCAGTACTAGAGTTATAGGTAGTCACCACTATACCCAGCTTTTATATGGGTGTTAGGAACCCAAATTCATTTCTTCATTTAGCTAACATTGCACCCACTGAACTGACTCCCCAGCCCTTTTGCTGGGTTTTCTGTGATGCTATGATCGTAGTATTTTGTTTGTTTGTTTGTTTGCTTCCTGCTAACTTGAATATTACTATAGGAGTTCAGTGGTTGGAATAGTTTACTTGTAACTAAAAATATTTGTAACTGCAAAAGCAATGTGTGCGTGCATACACATGTGTATGTGTGTATATGTGTACCCTTATGCTTGTGTTTGGTTTTGTGTGTAAATAGAGACAGCTTAATTAAGCAGAGACAGCTTACCATTTGGTACATATGTTAGGTTGATATTAAGAAGTTCCTGAGAATATTAAGTCTTAGAATTAAAGACTCTCCCAGTGGAAAAGCTTCATAAAATCATCCTAGTGTCTTTGATATTCTCTAAACAGTGGCCATCATCCTGATTTAACAATGTATTATGTATGTTTTCAGTACAAACTAGGATACCAAAATAGAGTAGATTATATATGTGCTTTTATACACAAACATAGATGTATATACTTGCAACAGTTTTACAACACATGTTTATAGTCACATGTAATGTCTGCTCTTTCCGTTTAATTTGTGCAGGAATAAAATGTTGGTTACAACCTGCTAAATTGATTTTCTGATCTAGTGTTAAAAAGATTTACCTACCTTGTCTCAGGTTCCCTTGCCCATGTATCTTAAAATATATATATTGCCATGCAAGTCTTTGTCAAGACTGAGGAAATGTTTTAGAGGACTTGATAGTCTTCTTCTGATTCTTTTGTCCATGTTTCTAGAATTTTATTACCAGAAACAAATGAAGATCTTGGTTGCTACAGCTATTTCAGACAGCTGTTTCAGCAACTCAAACAGATGTCAGAGCCATAGGTCTGACATTTAGTGGAAATGTGTGTTGTTAAAAACCACCTTGTAATTTGTTTTGCCCTGCTAGTTAATTTCCAGCAGAGGAAACCTTTTTGTAGAAAGAAATTAAAGTTGTCATAAATATAGAGAGTAAGCAGATACTGTATTCCTTGAATTTACAACATCTATGTTACTGCTTGCCACACTTGTGATGTAAACCTGGACCTAAATGTATCTAATCTTCAGCACAAAGAAGTTAGGTCACTTGTTTGAAGCCATTCAGCAAGTTAAACTAGGACTCTGATATTATTTCAATGGTTTTGCTCAACAATTATCCAAATTAATAAATACAGCATGTTGATCCACTTAGTCCTAAGCTATGGCCATCTCTAGTTTGAACATGGGACAATATAAAGGTGTGGAAATGTGCACATTTAACTTGATAATTTTATTTTTCCTCATTAGTCTTTAGGTATAGTTTGTTGTTAATAATTGGGTGCTCAGTGTACATTACCCAATTTCTATCTGATCTATTTATCTATCAATAGTCTCCCCTGCTTTAAGTGTGTGAAAAGATTGAATTATAGTATAATACACACTATCTTTATTGTGGTACTCACTGAATCTCCTTCAGTATTGCATAGGAACACTACATTAGTAGAGCAAGCAATGCATACAATTTAGGATTAAGCACTTTAAGCAATTTGTGTCCATGTGTCTCTGATCATTTAGTGGTCTACAAATATAAATTTCTATATACAAGTATGCACATTAATGAGAGAAATGCTTATCTATTGATGTGGTATTGAACTTCTTAAATGAGATACTCCTGTATACAGATTAATAAATAATATTATACAAGACAAGCTTACTATATAAGACAATTAAGGAAATACTTCTATTTTGAGGATTTCTTCTACCTCTGAAATTTCTTGCTTCTTGATGTATTTTACAGAATTTTATCACTAACAGCTTATGGCATATTTTTATTTTTTTATACCATTGCTGCTCAAATAAGCTCACATATATTCTGCCAAATGCTCCCAAATTACCAACCTAGCGAAAAGCTTTCTAAAACCTGCTATCTTTTAATATTCAGATCTTCTCCCATGGCTCTTATATGGATGAAAAATATTAAACAAAAAAAAAAAAAAAAAAAAAAAAAAACGGCAAGCCTGAGGATGTAGCTCATTTCTAGAGCAAATGCTTAGCATGATAAGGCTTGGATTCAATTTTCATAGTCCAGACAGACAGACAGATAATGAAAGTTAGCAGAGTCTGGATAAATAGCTCAGCAGTTAAGAGCATTGGCCTCTTTTTCCAGCGAACCCAGGTTTAATTTCCTGCAAATATATGATAGCTCACAATCATCTCTAACTCCAGTTTCAGGCATATCTGGTGCCCTCTTCTGAACTCCATGAGCACAAGACAGGCTTATAGTACACAGTCACATATGTATAAAAATACCTATACACTTAAAATAAATATAATTTATTTTTAAATCAAACAAAAGCAAAATGTACCTCCACTCCCTGCAAGCACTGTTGTTTCTTATAGAAGTCCACAAAGGCTATGGTAAATTCTCCACTTACACTGAAGACCAATAAGCTACAGTTTTGGGGCCCAGTCTGACCCACTACTGTTTGTAGAAATAAAGGTTGTTGAGACATAGCCATGCCCGTTTATTTACATAGAGTACATGTTTACCTTAAAAGCAAAGTAGTTGTGACCAAGTTGAGTAGTGACTACAATTACTGTGTGGCTTATAAACCCTGAAGTGTTTGAAATCTAGTCCTTTCCAGAGAAAGTTTGCTTTGCCGTGCTTTGCACTTTTATTTTGCGTCCATTCAGCCTCATTAAATGTACACAGCCACAAGCCTCAGGGTTGATCAGCTTTCAGCTCAGCAAAAGCCATAGACATGAATTTCTTTATGTATTTCTATATGCACACCAGAGAGCAGGTACATTCAGTATTTAAAGTATCGCCATTTGAATACTGTTTGACTGGTAATAAAATAGTTATCAACCTTAAATTCCAAACGTTAGCAGTTTTGAAACCACCAGTGAACTAAGAAAGCTGAAGGCAAAAGCACCTAGAAAACAAAAATTTCTCCCATTTCTTTCACTGAATCCATGAATTCCAGTCAATCTCAATTTTTGTTGCGTTAGAAAACCAAACTTCTCCAGACCTAAAGAAACCCCTGATTTATACCTAGGACCATCTCAACACACTCCCCTTTTCTCTTGATTCATTTCCTGATAATATACCACATTGTCAGATGTACACTCTAACTGAAGACCTAAAGAAACTTTCTAAAGGACACATTTAAAGTAAAATATTCAAGTGGACACTTGCATTTATCTATTGTTCAAGAACATTTTAAAATGTCTCAACCATGTAGTTTATATTTTGTCAGTGAGGAACTATTTTAGTACAGTAAAACATCATTGAATTTAACTCTAGAAAAATGGTCTTGACTTTTGTAGACTATTTATGAACCTATAAGTAAGCAAATGACAAGAGACAATCTGAAGAGAAATTAAGGTTACATAAAATATGAATTCTGAAAAGTACCCAAGACAGATCAAATACCAATTACTGCACCGTTTTCAGCAATAACCAATCAATAGTGACCTAAGTGTGACTCAATATAGAATTAATAAAGATCTACAATCTTGGATATTCAAGAAATCATATTCTGAATATAAATCATAGTTTTCTCACAAGGTAAACAAAGTTACAGACCAGAACAAAGGGTTAGTTCTTAGAGTCCAACCTCTAAAGCAGCTGTTCTCAACCTGTGGGTCATGATCCCTTTGGGATCACATATCCAGTATTTGCATTATAATTTGTAACAATAGCAAAATTACAGTTCTGAAGTAGCAACAAAATAATTTTATAGTTGGGGATCACTACAACATGAGGAACTATATTTAAAAATCCCAGCACTAGGAAGGTTGAGAACTCCTTCTGTAACACAGAAAAGACTCTTGGCCATGACCTCACTGATACCATAATGTTCTAGATTGCTTCTCTGTTGCTGTGATAAGACACTGACTGAAAGCAACTTGGTGTGGAAAGGTTTAATTTTATCTTACACTTTAGAATCTAGCATGAAGGATGCCAACACAAAAGTCTGGAGGAAGGAACTGAAGAAGAAACTATGGAGAAACACTGCTCAATGGCTTCCTACCAAGCTCACATTCACCTACTATTGTATCTTATACATCCCAGGCTCACCTGCCTGGTCATGGTACCACCCATGGTGAGCTGGGTCCATCTACGTTAGTTATCAATCAATAAAATGCCCCCATAAACCTGCTGGCTAGCCAGTCTTATGGTGATTCCTCTTCCAAGGTATTTCAAGTTGACAATCAAGACTGATTCAGTTTTATCAGCATTGATAAAATACCAGTAGCATCTAGGTATAGTACATAAGACTGAGGACACAGTGGTGGCTGAGATGTGGGCTCTCTCCTTCATAAGACCACAGACTTATAAGAGAGAATTAATTCTGCCACCAGATAATAGAGCTCTGAGCTATAAAGTTTGTTTTTAAATTTTTCTAAAGAAAAATCGTATCAATGAGTCAAAAAGAAAGAGTATTCCATACTTGGTTTATCTGAGCTATGAAATATGAAATGATGTTCACCTCCTTCTTCCTGTCATCTGAGTGAGTTTACATCTGGCTTGAGGAACAGCATGAATGCATAGTTTTACATGGTCAAACTTCAGTTACTGCAATCCAAGAAATTGCAGAGCCCCTTAGTAAAGTTCAGAAGGGGAGAATAAGGAGGGGATAAAATGTCACACTTGGAAAACCTTTACATATACATCAAAAGTTTGGAGCCTTATATGTGAGTTATAAAAGGTCTCCTTTGCAGTATCTGTATCTACATCCTAGAATAGTATTTCTGGAATTGGTTTGGAGAGTTTTAGTCTTGGTACCACTGAGAATAGCAGTCACTGAGCATGATGAGTTGGGGAGAAAGATAAAATTGGATAGGGTATTTCACAGCTGTTGGTTTTATCGCCTCAAAATGTGGAAATCTCATGTAAGGGTTTATGAAGTATCGTCGCATAGCAAAAATCAAAAGCCACTGGTCTTTTGAATATCCTGGAGACATAAAATGGCATGTCTAATTATGAATATTACCATAGAATCGTTTCTTATCAGACTCTCTTTTCAAAATAATAAACTTAATTGTATGCAGGCAGGGGGTTCTATAAACAAGAACAGTCTTTACCATTGATTCTCAATGTTAATAATAATTGTTGAATTAAGGGGAAGAGAGTGAATGCTCATTTGTAGATATTATTCTGTTGTTTGTCCATTGGTGGGACTTACCCCTTTCTCTCATCTTTTCTTTCTTTTCTTCACCACCCCCCATCATGGACATGGTCAGCTTCAAAGAGATAGAAAACTAACTCCTAAGAGTATAGATACCATGTCCTCTGTGGGGTTCTGCTTTGACACATAATCAACAACTTCTGATGTTTTAACGCATTGATTGTTAAGTCAAAAGTGAAGAGATTATGAGACTGTTGAATATCAAGCTTGAGATTCTATTATAGTCACCCTTGAAAACAATGCCTCCATTTGTCAATTTCTATTCTATGTGATTTTCATCTGGTTTAATGTTTGAAGTTTATGGACACTATAAATGATGTCTTTTGGGTCTTGTTATCTGTTTACACTGATTTTAAGTGTACGCAAAGGTTATTTGACTAGATGTGTCTGTGGATTTTTTGTTTCTGTTTCCTTTTTTCTAGAAGGGAATAAATGAATTGCCATTCAATATGTTTGTTAAAAGAACCAAATTGATATGAAATTGTATATTTATGCGTGTTTTATTTTTCCTTTCTGATATCTCTACCTCTTCCTCTCTATTATTAAAGGAAGAAATGCCCCTGGAAAGCCAATGAGAGAGGTTAGTGAGACTTGGGCTCACAGCCATGGCTTCTGTCTGTCTCATCCTGCTTTCTGTGTCTGGCCTTTGTGTAAGAACTGTATGTGTGCACGCGCATGTGTGTTTATTTTACATTCTGTCATCATCCAAAGATCCACTTGCAGCTCATGAGGAGCTTTCCTCAAGTGTTCATTGTCGTTGTCATCTCCATGACAACAGACGGGTTGGGGGAACAGGAGTCTCTCAAACTTGGCAATCCTTTCTAGTCCCCAGAATGGAACCTTCGAGTTCATATCTGATGCCATCTGCAACACAAACAGAATCGTCAAAATAAGTTTACTGTGAATATGACTGATGAGTCATAAAACTTCCTTTCACTTCCAGGGCCTGAGCATTTTCTGCTAGGGTTTTTGGTTTTTATTTTTCTGAGATGACATCCTTTTATTTGTTTTTATTTTTTGACTGTTTTTCCCCCCTCTTTCCCTTGTTTCTTCACTCCCTAATTTCCATTTTGGCTAAGATTTTTTTTTTAGCATGAATTTTGTGCCAAGCACTGTTGTAGATATTTGCCATTTATTTTTGCATCACATAATCTTCATGACGAACATAAGAGGTAGGTATTCTTCTGAACTCTACATTTCACACATAAGGTAACTGAATCAAGGTGTGGGTAAACAAAGTGTTGAGGGTGGCAGAGCCAAGGATGGAGTCCAGGAAGCCTGGCTTTAATGCCACATGCTTTAAAGGCTTACATCATCTCACCATGCCTTGCAGAAGATTCTGTTCACCATTTGAAATCAAACAGAATAGTAAAAAAAAAAAAATTAGGTTAAAAAATGAACGAGGGCTGTGATATGATTTTCAATGCTGGATTGCAATGAGTGGGGCACAGCACTGACAATGAAGATACTTTAGGTTTTAATGAGGAAAGCTGCTTCTTAATCCTATGCTATCATCTGAACATTGACATATCTCCTCAATTGACTGTCGGAGGACAAGCATGCTAAGTGTCAACCCAAGTGCAATAAGATTGCCCTAACCAAGAGTTTATTGTAAATGAATGGGGCAGGCAAGCTCTCCCAAGAGGTGCCACTAGCATGTGCTGTTCTGAGAGATAAGCTGGCTAGATTTATCTTACATAAGACTTAGATCCTTAGCTCAGAAATAGACAAGGGGCCACAGATACATTTACACATTAGTAGTTCTGGGTTACTAAGATGACTCGGTACTTAAATACACATATTGCTCTTGTAGAGTACCTGAGTTTAGTTCCTAGGACCCACTTTGTGATGCTCACAATTACCTGCAACTCCATCTCCAGGGGACCCAATGGACCTTTGTGGACATACCCCCTCACAAGTACACATAGTTGAAAACAATATAAATATTATTTAAAACCTATGTGTTCATACTAGAAATTCTGCCAAGATTATGCTATGCAATTATAACAAAATTTAATGACACTTGGTATGTCTGCACTGATGTCCCTTCAAAAGGATGGAAGTTCCAGGGAGGAAATAGTAGCTTGGAGGAGTTAAGAAGATTTGAATCAGTGATGCATTGAATGCTCCTGGCTCATGTACTTAGTCTGTGAGACTTTTGGGTTGATTTTAATACTAAATGCCCACCATAAACTTCAACATTTTTTTGTGACAAAGAACAGAATAATAATTTTGAGACCATTGAACATATTTTATCCATGAGTAAATATTCTGAGAGTCCAGCAGATTGAATTGAATCAGTGACTACCTGAGATTCTGAATAGTCAGATAAGTTCCCAAACATCACAGAATTACAACCATAATGCTATGAAAATACTCTAAATTCACACTGGGCCAATTTTTTTCAGAGATGAAATAATGGAGAGGAAAAGATAAGCCTATTTTGTTGTGATATTCTGGCTTTGCTTTGGCCAATTCAATGCTAACCATTTGTTAAAGAATTGAATTTTTTAAAAAAAACTGAGTGCCAGTTGCTATTGAGGTTTTGGATCTTTGCCAGAAATTCCCAATTCTAATCACTGTGGAAAACAACTCCCTTAGACAGTGGTGGCATGTGAGACTAAATGTGTTGCAATGAGCGCTAACTTGGAAAAACATAACACTGTCCTAATGCTCAACTCATGGTGCCTTTGTGATCAGTAATTCTTGCTTAAGAATGATTGGGGGAGATGGGATGGAAGGGTGGTTGGGGGGGCATGAGAGGGAGGGAGAGAGGGAGGGAGAGGGAACAGGGATCAATATGTAAAATAAGAAAAAATAAATAAATTTTAGAAAAGAATGGATTGAATCAATACTTTCTATAGACATATTTTTGTGTCAAGTTGTGCCCAAAGCCCATTGCTATTGCTTGAATCCTAGCCACTTTATTTAGTATGATATTTGGATTTTAATTTTAGATTTTCTTAGGTAAAGTTAATGACCTCACCAATGGTTTGTCTTACACAAAAGAATAGAAACATGATGCGTACAAATATGTGTCTTATAACCTTGTTTTAACCTCCAATGGATTGAAGTTTAATTTTGGGGGAGTGTTTTATCAAAGATAATGAATTTGATTTTATTTTGTTTGTTTTCTGTATCCAATAAAAACTTCCATAAACTTGTAATCATTATTCTGGTAAAATGGGTATTTATAAATTGTATTACCAAACATGTAATGTAGGTATAGCAAGCCACCTTTAAAGGTTTTTATTTTATGTAGCAAAATAATGATCATAAAGTCTCTTATTAACATTGAACAGTCTAAACAGGTTAAGACCACCAACATTTTATGCTAGGGCGTGTAGTATACTAGCAATAATTAACCTCTCTTTCTGTTGGAAGAATTTTGAACAACCAAGATCCACTAGAACTAGTACTTAAAGATAGTCAAGTGTTTTTTTTTTTTCCTGAGGAGTAGCCAAACACCATTTTAAAGACTAGAATTACCCTTTGGGAATATATTCTATTAGTACATTTATTTATTTTTCTATCTTTTGAACTGTAGTATATAACCCCTAGCCATCAATCTTAAAAGGTTAGTTTTGATTATCCATAAATTGATAGGAAAAGCCCACATGTTCCATGTTTTGTTTATATTTTAAAATACACTCTCTATTAATATCCTAGAGTTAGATATGGGTCATAAGATATGGTTAGAATTAGATTCACTGCCAGGTTCTAAGGATGTTTTTTACTGGCTTTGTTAAGATTGCTAATAAGACAAAAATTGCATTTACTACATCTACTTGGAGGTGTGTGTGAGTAGTTGTACAGATTCCTCAGGGTTGCTGTGCAGTGAAAAGCAGATACAGGGACCTCCCTCCAACCTATGCTTATCACTTGTGTATTGGAATTCTGAAGTCCACAGAACAAGGTGGCTCCACTGTGTCTGCCTGAGTTTTTGTTTCTATTTTTCGTTGTTTTGCTTTTTTAAAGAGAGGATCTCACTGTGTAACACACATTGCCTTAAATTTGACAACCTCTTTCTTGAGAACTGGGATTGTAGGCATGTACTGGTATATCTTTCTTTCATATATATACATACATACATAGAGTGAACAGTGATTCCAGATATTTTTTTAACAACAAGAACATTGACACATTTTATGAATAGTACATATGCTTTGTTAAACATTTTTCTATTTGAAGTCTCAACCTAAATCCAAAGTAATTTTTTAAACACAATTAGCTCTCAATACATTTTTCTGTACTAATAAAACTAGCTACCTTAATATAAATGAGTGGCATTAAACATTTAATGAATCTTGAATTGATATGGTGTCATCACTGTCTAAGTGCTTGCCCATGAATCCTCTTCTAATTCTTCCACATTTTGTTTTAAAAAGGTATGTATCTATTGAAATAAGTATTAAAACAGACTACATGATCTATTCTGTCTTTAATATTTATTGGGATTTTAGCAATTCTGAAACTTTGTTAAGTTGATCCATGATTAGGTAGTAATGACATAATAAAACATCTCATTTCCAAAGGCAGTACTTGAAAAGGAGAATGACTTACCAAGGTTGAAGAATTAAAATTAGACTCATAAATATGAGGCATATACAAAATAGGGAGCTGTGAAGTACATCTCTGATTATCTTATTGTAGGTGTTAGTTTTGCTAGAGTACCCACAGACATTATGCTCTTGATTCTATGTTGGGGGATTAATGCCAGGTCGTGCCACATTATTATGAAAAGGCTATTTTGATAGTTAACCCTCATTTAGTGGGCAAGCAAAGATGTATTCTCAGGTTCCCCAAATCTTTGTACTACACATAGGTCATATTATAATTAGGCTGCAGAGTAATTTGGAATGTAAAGTGGTTTTTATTCTAAAGCTTTCTAATTCAAATGTGAACAGTGTGCAAAAAGGTCAAATCAAGAGTTTATTTTTCAAGCCAAGTAAAAGCAGAAAGAAAATGGTCATATCCTCCATAGCACAGCTATTCTTCACAGCTTAAAGCTGCCAGTAAATGAAGATTCCATGTAATTTTCAGGATGGCTTTGCTGGTAATGGTTATGGTAGTAGAGGAGATGGTAGTGGCTTGATAATAAAAAAAAATGTATCTACAACACAGCAAATATAATTGCAGTAAATACAACAAAGTGAGAAAGATGTATCCCATTACAAAGTCTTCTCTGTGATATCACCCTTGTGCTTTTCTATGGAGTTCCTTTGAAATGAGTTGGAAAGTAGAAATTGGGAAGCTGAATGCAGTGTTTCACATTTTTTCCCCATCAAATGACACCAGTGGGCTGATCTAGAATTAAGCTGATACTAACACTATATAATGCTTCATTAACAAGGCTTTGCTTCTTCCTGGAGATGGATAAAAAAATGACACTGTGTTGTGTATAAATTCAATGCAGCTTCTGTGTTGTCTTTACCCTGAAATGAAAATTACTCCCCATAATGGCAATCAGGGGAACAATAACTTCACACTTTATAAAATCTTTCCTTCTTTTTGTTTTCCAGGACACAATGTAGGAAGCCTTTTCCACATGGCAGATGATTTGGGCAGAGCGATGGAGTCCTTAGTTGCAGTCATGACAGATGAAGAAGGAGCAGATTAAATGTTTTACAACTCCTGATTCCCGCATGGTTTTTATAATATTCGTACAACAAAGAGGATTAGACAGTAAGAGTTTACAAGAAATAAAATCTATATTTTTGTGAAGGGTAGTGGTACTATACTGTAGATTTCAGTAGTTTCTAAGTCTGTTATTGTTTTGTTAACAATGGCAGGTTTTACACGTCTATGCAATTGTACAAAAAAGTTAAAAGAAAACTACATGTAAAATCTTGATAGCTAAATAACTTGCCATTTCTTTATATGGAACGCATTTTGGGTTGTTTAAAAATTTATAACAGTTATAAAGAAAGATTGTAAACTAAAGTGTGCTTTATAAAAAAAAAGTTGTTTATAAAACCCCTACACACACACACACACACACACACACACACACACACACACACACACACACACACTGAGGCAGCACATTGTTTTGCATTATTTTAGCGTGGTATTCATATGGAACTCATGTCTTTTTTTTTTTTTCTTGCGTATTAAAGTTAGGCCTTCCTCTAATAGCACCAAATGACTGCTTCACATTGCTCTTTTGAGAATTGTTGACTCAGTGGGGCTGGCTATGGGCTTTCATTTTATACATCTATATGTCTACAAGTATATAAATACTAGAGGTGTATAGATAAATAGATATGAAGTTTCTTCTCCAAATGTTCTTGCCACTTCCTAATGGAAATAAATTGCTTCTAGTTGTCTGGGCTTATCTGCTTGGGCAAGAGTGAATTTTCCCTGCAGCCCGAAGCCAGGAGAATACTACTGTACTAAAATATTGTCTAGGGCTCCAGAAGTTTCTAGTTTTAAACTTTCCACTGACAACTAGAGCTTTGAATTCTTTTTAAGGAACTTATGAATGAATACACAGGACTTACTATATCAGAGTAATCTGTTGGTTGATATATTCAGCCTCCTGCTGATGGCTATGCCATGGTTTAGATTCAATGATGTTTCTACAAAAGAGCATCAGAAGGCATTCTTCACTCCTGAGCCACAGGAGGAAGATGGTGGAGGCTGTGGGTTGTGACTCCCTACTCAATGCCTGTGAGGGGAGTAACTACTCTGTAAAAGAGTGGATGAATATTCACAACTATACATACAAACATCTCTGTTATCTATAATCACGACTAAATTGTTCTGCCCACTTTTTATACTCAAACTGAAGTGGGTAGTTTTGTTGTTGTTGTTGTTGATGATGATGATGATGATGATTTTTAGATTTTAGCTTTTGTTTTTCCACTGTAATGAGTTTTTTTTAATGCTGCAAGACTTAAGATTATTGGTAAGAAAGTAACCCAATCACATTGTGACCCCGGTGAATATCAATCCAGAGACCCATGAACTGCATTTGTCTCCTTTTCATTGGTTTTCCTGCAAGTAATTTCATACAGAATTGTAAGTTAAGGAAGGTATACTGATTTGAAAGTTTCACGAGCAAAAGCCTCTCCAAACCATCTGGTAAATTTGACAGGCTAAGTCATAAACAAATGCAGATCATTGAAAAAGAGGAGAAAAGGTGAAGATGAAAGCTAAGGACTGGTAGGAAAAGCTTTACTTACTCTTTCATGTCATTGTATTACTATATCGTTTAAAAATCATTCTTTCAATAGAAATCACTGTTGCATTATTTTGCAAATATGTTACTCTAACATCCAGTATATTTAACTTTTAGAGAGTGATTTTTGTCCATTATTAATTGTAGTTAACATCAAACACAGCTTCTCATGCTCTTTCTACCTCACTTTGGTTTTGGGGTGTCCCTGGTAATTGTGCACACCTAATTTCACAGCTTCACCCCTTGTCAGTTGTGTGGAAACCATTATCCTTTTCTCTTTTTCATTTCCAAAAGAAAACCCAAAGCTCTAAGGTAACAAATTGAGATTTGCTTTTAGTCTTGCATTATTTTTCTCTTTTTTGTGACACTGGACATTTTCTTTACCCAAGAGTTTGTTTTAACTAAGATTTAAAGCAAGGGGTTACTTTACATCCTACTAAGAAGTTTTAAGTTTCATTCTAAAATCAGAGGTAGAGTGCATAATTTTGTTTTAATCTTTTTGTTTTATCTTTTAGATATTAGTTCTGGAGTGAATCTGTCAAAATATTTGAATAAAAACTGAGAGCTTTATTGCTGAGTTTAAGCATAATTTGGGCATCATTTCATGTTCTTTATAACCACCAGGTATTAAACTGTAAATCATAATCAATGTAACTGAAGCATAAACATCACATGGCATGTATCATCATTGTTTCCAGGTACTGGATTCTTACTTGAGTATCATAATATATTGTGTTTTAACACCAACACTGTAACATGTACTAATTATTTTTTTAAACTTCAGTTTTACTTCATTTTCAGAACATATCAGACTTCACCAAATATATGCCTTACTATTGTATTATATTACTGCTTTACTGTGTATCTCAATAAAGCACGCAGTTATGTTACAAAAAAAAACTGTTTGTTGAAATATAGTAGTTTGATTTTTCAGTTACTTCAATTCTTTCTGTATTTTTTTTTTCTTTTGAGGTTGGGGGTGGGGGAGTGTCTAACTGTGTTGCCTGGGCTAGCATTGAATTCCTGGGTTCAAGATATCCATCCTACCTTAGTCTCTGAAACTGCTGGGACTACAAGCTCATGCCCTGATTTATTTTAATTCTAAACATCTAACAAATCAATGTGTTTGAAAACGCTTAAAAATGCATACATGCATATATATACATACAAACGTGTGTATGTGCGTGCATGTGTGAGTGTATGTTTGTGTGTGTGTGTGTGTATACTTAACTACATACATGTGTGTCTGTTACATAAAAGCAGAAGAGGAACGATTTTGGAGAGAAAGGACCATTGAGGGGAAAGGTTAAACGAGTAAAGGTAGTGAGAAAGAATTTGAGCAAGGTCTATTGATAATGTATACATGACAGTGTTTTAGGCGTTCTGTTGCTTCAAAGAGACACCATGACCACTGAAACTCTTAACTCTTATAAAGGAAAACATCTAATTGGGGTGATTTAGATTTTCAGAGACTTAGTACATTATTATCATAGTGGAACATGGTGGCATGCAGACAGATTTGGTACCTGATCTAAGGCAACAAAGATTGAACTGAGACACTGGGCATAGCTTGAGCAAATATGAAACCTCAAAACCTGCACGCACAGTGATGCACTTCCTCCAATGAGGCCAACAAAGCCACAGCTCCTAAGAGTGCCATTCGCTATGAATGATGAAGGCAATTACATTCAACCTACTACACACAGTGTTTAAGCCATTATTTTATGTGCTAAAAAGAAACAGTTAAAAATCTAGACATAGTGGTACAGTTCTGTAATATTAGCTCTCAAAAGGCAGAAGTAGGAGAAGCACCTTAACGCCAAGGCCAGGCAAATCTACGTAAGGAGTCTCAGGCCAGCCACAGCTACATAGTGAGATCCTGTCTCAAGAAATAAAACTCAAACTGATACCACAAACACTTTTTTGTCTGTGGTGTGTGTGTGTGTGTGTGTGTGTGTGTGTGTGTGTGTGTGTGTACTTGATGTGTGTGCTCTGTGTTAATTTGAGGGTGCAGGTACCATGGTGCATGTATGATTGTCCAAGCACAATAATGTGGGTCAGTCTTCCTTTTTATCTTATATGAGACAGGGTCCCTTTGCTTTTCACCCCTTCGGATGCCTGCAAGCTTCTAGGGATTCTCTTGCCTCTCCTTCCATCTCACCATAGGAAAGTTGGAATTACAGATATGGAATACATGTGTTTTAGGTTAGGTACCCATGTATAAGGAGTAGGTACCCATGCTTGCATGGCAAGCCCTTTACCGACTGAACTACTTCCTCATCTCCTTGAAATACTTTCATTTCAGTGTTTAAAACGTTTTTTCATTCTCCTCAAAGCCATAAATATTCTAATAGGTATGAATTATTTATTCAGAGTGTTCTTGGGGCATATGTAGGTTTCCAGCATTTGTCATTGAAAGTGACAAACAACATTGCACATGTCCTTACATCATTCTACTTATACACAAATGTATCCATATGTCCCATTTGTAGAAATGAAATGGCGGGATCAAACGTAACCATTTTACCTTTATTGCTTTGAAGATAAGTTTTTTGCAGTGACAGAAATTTGTTTTTATTTATAACCAGTATTAAACCAGATTGGAATTTGCCCCTTGCTCCTCAAGAAAATTTTATCATTTCTAAATTAATTGTTAATTGTACAGGACCTTTAGGTGTGTGAACGGTAGGTGAAGGGCCATGGATGATGTCTCAGAAAGAACTCTTAGGAGGTTTCTGAAAACATGCTCATGGCTACCACCTGACTGATACCTGTTCCTCATCTCTGTCCTGTGCTTCTTATTCTAACAATGAAGATGACAGGGGGATGAATTGCAGTATTGCTCCTTGAGAGAGAGATTATTTTGTCCCCCACTGGTTATGGGGGTGTGATTCCCCAATAGCTGTGGGCAATGGAATAAAAGAGACAGCCTATTTCCATGATTTGAAAATAGTAGGAAATAATGCAACTCAAGAGTGATGTGGGGGTGTCAACTCTGATGGGAATCACAGGGTAACTTGTGGTGGGGTGTGGAGTGATGGTACCTACCTGAGCGACTGCTGCATTGAAGAGTATAGCCAAGTAAGAATACCAAGAATAATTGTCAGCCTGTTGGAGTAAATGGTGCATCTCTCCTCCACTATCCAAACTTGCCTTTTCTACAATACTCAAGACTGGCTGGTAACTTGATAACTGAGGACTCTTCAACTTTTTCTAGTGTCTGAAACAACTGTGTGGATGACTCTTTAAGTAGTGCAATTGGTTTTTCCATTCTGTTCTTTGAACATGCTGAAGTGGAGAGAATTAATAAGGTTAAAAAATTAAAATGGAACAAGCTGGCACAGATTGTGCATCAGCAAGCAAAATGTGTGTCTGGAGAAAAGCACTAAGACTAATGCATATGTTCTGTGGAACTGTGATGGGATTTCCTTGCATTTATAATGCTTTAATGGTGG